TCTGCTTAGCGATCGTCAGCCGTCATCCCCATATTTAAAGAGTGCAAGGGACGTCGCATGAAAATCGCCATGGCATCACTTTAACCTCGATTGCTTCCAAGCGACTCACTTGGATTACGCTGCAGCGACTTCCTGATCGTCGTGAAAGACGGATCAGAACTAACGAGACTGGCTCCCCACTCGAAAGTGGGTAAAATGATCACATCTTAACCCCATCAGGTGCTTCGACACCACTATGCATACAAACCGTCTATGGTCGCAGTCTTCCCTGACCAGAAAACAAAATTTGAGTGCGTTAAGCGCATCTGTTTTGAGCGGCGTCTATTGTTTTAAGGGCGTACCAGAGAGAATCCTTTGCAACCTAAAATCTCCATAAGACGACAAGTGGCTGTGCAAGGGTCTAAGGGAGACCAACCTGCATACACTACGATTAGTGGAGCACACTAAGGCATCACCATGTACCCATTTCTCCTCAAGTTTGCGATCGAAATGGTCATGATTGATTTGTCTTCCATTATTTTCCAATAACAAAGTTCTGTTTGATGACCGAGTGCCAATCCCAGAGAAAGCGGCTGACATAGTTGTCTTGAAATCCGTCGAAACAGTTATGCGAGTGCTATTGAATAAGCCGATGAGTAGCGCTACACGCTTTGGCATGTACCCTACCACTCAAAGCGAAAAGTATGGTTAAAAAACGGGTTCGACACACCGAAAAATTGAAGGGATCTATGGGTCTTATCTGGGTATATGTATCCCCTATGAAGGTTACTGTTGGCATTCGAATGGCCTGTGTGTGTGGTTTTTCGAGGCATCGATTCTTTGTAGAAACAGTAGAAAGTAAGCGTTGCCTGAGGAAAGAGGCTAAAACACCGCGGAGCGGTAGTTGCTAGTGGGTAGGCCGGGGATGTGACTGCTGCGAGTTAAGAGATTGGCCATTTTGCCACGGAGGTTGTCGAAGTAGTATCTTCAAATCTGGTGAGGGAATCGAGCGACTAGTACCGGTTTGTCATCTGACGTCTAGCAATAGGCCTTCAAGTGCCGGTTGAATTTGGATCATCTTCGCCAGCTCAGTTATACATTCCGTACGCCTGCAAGTCGACTGTATCAGTGTGTATTGTCTGAAAATACTGTGCTTAGTTAGGTGAAACCCTGAGGAGATCACCCACTTTAGCGTGTTAACGGAGCATGAAGAATCTCACTGGGAGGCCTAGACAGCTTGATCTTGTTCGGGTTCCCGGCTGGGATAGGCCACAAGTTACTGGCTACCCAGGCGACATCACGAAGTAAATCAAATGTTTGAATCCCAACTATTCAGTTTGACTATACTAATGCTTACCAGTTTCATTGAAACATGAACAGATTATTGTTATTATTATTGTTTATGAAGAGTACTAAGGTAATTGGATAAATCGCATTTTGTTGCACGGGTTATAATTGACAACTTGATCTGAACTGAACACTCTCAGTTCACCATGACAAGGTAAATGTCAGGGCTGGGGAAAATTGAAGGGGAAAATGCCCAATCAAGTAGGAAGCTCAAGCGCAAAGATCTGACAAAATGTTATTACTGGTGCACGAATGGGTCGAAGAGAGGGGATGAAAGACCGAAAGCAAGTGAGACGCCTAATGTTTGTATCCGCCATGTGTGCAGCCTTGTATAAACCCGACGCCTACTTACTTGTGTCGGTGTACCAGGCTATTAGAGACCCAAGGATAAAGAATGCTGATGGCTTACAACACTCAAAGCAAAGGTGCAATACCGGTTACAGTGGAAAAATGTGTGTACGTATGCAAAACCGTACGATTTCAAAGAGATAAAATGAAAACAACTGCAAAAAGCGGAACACAGCGAGTGAAAAAAGAAAGTGTTATCTTGAAGGAGTGTGGGGCCGGTTCCGTGGATGAAACCTGGCTCCCATCCACATGTCTCCCGGTCTTATTTCTTCGGGTTTACACCGGATACGGGGTGTGTGGGTGGAACTGTGAGTGGTGCAGCGCAAGCCATCCATGGTCCCTCTGTAGGCGCAGGCGTCCTGTGGCTGTCCTATGGAGGCCGCAGACTAGCAAATGCTTAACAGGATGCGGCCAACCAAGTGGTTCGACGTCAGCAAGTAGTTCAGTGTGATACCAAAGGGTTGCTACAACGTATCCGCTAGAAAGCATCGGGACCAATAACTGCGCCCTCAATCTATAAGGACAATGGTTAGCGGAGGTATGCGACCAGAAATGAACCATTGTATGGTCGACGTGCAGTACGCAATTTCCAATTGCGCATTAATATCTCGCGCTGATTGGCTGAGGTACCAGTGTCTTCAGAGATGAGTATGATTTCGAAATGACACAAAGCATTAATGACGTGCGCATTTGACTTTTAGTCAACAAGTCACCGGGTCGAAGTTGCGTGGGCGTGGACGACATCACACACGGACGCTGGTGGTTGTGCGGCAGCGAAGTGCGGACACGAGCGACCTCACAGCGTATCCAACGCAGAGCAAGCTAGTCGGTCACTTCTAGTGCTTTTGAAAACTGTTGGCTTGTCAGACTGGTCACTAAACCCCTTACATTTTCCGGACGCGAAGTATGCGCCACGTGGAAGCTGTGCGCAGTAGTCAAGAGGTCAAGTTGAAAAAATGAATACCATCACCATTAAATCGATCAGCTAAGCAAATGCGTCAGTGCAACAGCCAAATTGGTACTTCGCATTGGAATAATAACTTCCAAACAACCTAGGCCTTGGTGTGATCAGGGTGGCGCGCTCAGTCATTTACGACTACATGGTACAATGGGATGTCGCGTACACCCATGGGTGTGTGCACACATCGAGCACTGGGGTCTCTCGCCCAACTTCACGACGGTGAGGTGCTGTTGGTGGCCCTCGGGCCAACAGTTGCACAGCTACTCGAAGTAGAACCATAGTTTTAGGGATGGTACTTCCTAATGTGTGTAGGCTCGATTGGCAGGTGATATCGATACTAGGTGTCCAGATGTTCTCAATAGTATCGTTCGTTATTGAGTGTTGATATGAATCTATTATCATCGTCTCATCAACTGCAGTACACAAGTACTCTGTACTGATACCACCCTGTCACATACAACCATAATAACATGTGTCTGAGGAAGGCTAAGAGTGAAAGGAGAGGAACCCAGGCTAGAACCTAAATATCCTGAGCAGACATTCACGGTCAAGGCGTCTATATTTTGACAATACACAGTCAGGAACAGCAGGCTACCGTGCGAGTAAAAGGTGCAATCGGAGAGACAAGTTTATTGCGGTTTTCAATGCCCTGTCTCATACTAGGCTCTATACTACAGGAAATTCGGCATCCGACACGCTTCAGACGGGCAGTCCCACTAAAGATGGCAGTAAACGTGTCACTGCTACTACCTGAGAGCCGCTCAGTGGTATCTCGAGCCAAGCACAAAAACGGTCGCCCGGACTCCAATCAGGCAGGCGAGAAAGACCAACAGCCCCAAGCTTAATCATTCGTGGGTTCATTTCTAGCTCACTAACGGTTTTCAACATCAGGCGAAACAATCCAAGTGAACGCTTTCTCCAGATACAATGTAGTTCTTCAGTAAAGCTTTCCATAAAGTGGACGATGTAGTCCTGCTCCACAAGCTTATGTGGTGTTGGTGGCACACTGCACCAGTGGATCAGTGACTTCCTTATTGGAAGAAGATGGCGGGTACAGGTGGATGACCAACAAAGAGCTGGTACCCCTCTAATAGCGGTGTACCCCAAGGCACAGTGCTCAAGTCATTTTATTCCTGATCCATATAAACGAAGTGCCTCAGCTTCTTCGGTCGCCATGTGCACTGTTTGCAGACGACTTGAAGAGTTGGAGGGTTGATTCTTCCGACGGTTGACGTCCTTCGTCAGGACCTCGACCGGCTATCCCTGTCAAGTCCTCGTATATGAGCCTGGGGAGTGGTGGTAATGGGTGTGCGTACACACTGACCCGCCACCCGCTGCATCCCACCAGTTTCGTAAAGGATCTAGGCGTACTCTCACACAGTGATCTGAAGTCTGTCGACAACACGAACAGGGTACGCAAACGGACTACGTCTGCTTTGAGCACTTAGACGCAGCTTCTGCACTTGGTCTGAAGAGATTGCCACCCGTCTGTTCTTTTCCATAATAAGATCGGTGCTAAAGTACGACTCACCCGCTTATTTTCAGATCACAATAGGTGCGCTGCAGAGACTGGAACGGGTCCAGAATGTAGCTACCCGCCTCTCTCAGTTTACGGGGTGTCGTACGAGGACCGATGTAGGAGACTAGGGCTTCGAGTTGATCACATTAGAACTCACCGGATACTGCACCTGAGTCATTTACCTATGTTATGGCCACTGCTGCACGTTCGTGCAGCAAGCAGGACACGCGGACACCGGTATAAACTGGTGGCACCGGATTTAAAACGCATCGCTCAACCTCTATGCTTCGAGCGCCGAGTGGTGAAATATTGGAACAAGCTGCCGGAGACAATAGTCGAGAGGGAACCGGTGTCGGAGTTTAAGTGATTCCTTGACACCCACTTTGCGGACTGCAGGTATAGGGGGCGTATCGCACGCGGATAAGGTAGTGCAGCCGTAACATGCTGCCATCGCGCAGGAATCAGCAACATGATTCCGCGCATGTGCCCGATCCACCTACGATGGGGCAACACAGATTTCTATCTTTTCGCTCTATAAGCTCAGTAGTAGGTATTCAGAACCGAGTGAACACAAGTGAACTCGCCCACGCAGCACAGTGTTTTGCAACACATTTGGCGCGAGCAAACAGTGGGATGTGCGTTGTTCATTTCAGCTTAGTGGCCGAACCGAATAGAAGATTCATGTGCTCAGGTCTGCATTCCTGGACTGTAACCGCTGCAGTAAAGCACGCGGAAAGCTCGAAAAGACGCATGGGCAGTATGACGAAACATGGCAAACACGTACAATCGGAAGATAGGTAGCACAAAGGAACTCAACAAGTGTAAGGGGAAAAATGCGAAACTCACTTGACGCGTTCGGCAATATGCGCAAACAGCTCCTGGCGCCAGGCGGGCATGTGAGTCACAACAACATCAGTATCCTCAGGGATTTGCTCCCACTTTGCGGCCACATCCTTGATATCAGGTAGTACAAAGCCATCGGCTCTAGTATAGCACCTATTTTGTTTGTGGGTCCGAGCAAGAGAAGAGTTAATGGATGAGAAATCGACAACTTGTTGTTCAGAAGTGGAGATTTCGTCGGAATGTTTGGAACGTTTTGACCGCAGGAAACAACTCAGATGGCGTCTGTTGTAGGCACCATCCTCGGGTCGCAAATCATCTGCGGCAGTCCATGAGCTGCCGTAAATATTCAAACCCAATATCCGGCATGACGCATCCTCAAGGTAGATACCCGAGTTCATGGCGGATTGTATCTTCTCTGCTGTAGGTATATCCTGGTTGGAGCTCGAACTCCAACATTCCCAGCAGCCTGGAATGAAAATTTTGAATTCATGCGGTTGTTGAGCAAAGAAACGGTTTATCTCATCCACTTGCTCTCGCCAGCTACAAAAATTGTTATCATTTGGAGAACGCGAGAAAGTGTTGCCGATTCGGCGGTACCACTTGGGCATTCGAAGACCCCGATGCGGTGGATTAGGAGCAAAATCTCCGGAATGGATAAGAATGTGGCCGCGTGGTATGTGTTCGGCATATGCTTCGTGAGTGCCACGAGTATCAGATATGTGAACAATTCGGACTATCCGAGCCTGGGGATGTCCCACCTCACCGACAACATAAACATTTAGATTCCGAAAATTGAGCAACGCAGACGCCAAGTTGGTCTCCACGTAATAGTGTGGTTTGGTCTGTGCCAATTTGCCAGTGTCATATCGTCTTTTACCGCCTGGGTGCTGGTACCCGCGACGAATCCTATTGACCAACAGTCGGGTATATGATGCACTGCGGGCGTTCGGCTTGTAATGGACTATTTTTGCCAGAATACAGTAAGGAGCAATAAAGTATGAGGAACTAAATACAACTGCAAATTGAGAGACGACGCCACTAATTTATTCGGTTGCAAAACCAACCCCGTCACACGTGAGCCGCCGTATCGCGTGTGTCACGTGGGTAAGTCCATCCAATTGATCTGTCACGAGACCGTTTCGACCAATTAGCTTAACGCAAGCGGGTCAGTCTGGACTTGGCAGCTGATTTTGTCGACACAGCATGAATAGCCGGTTACGTATTTAACCAATCACAGTTAGGACAGAAGGCGAAGACAGATCCACCAATCACATCAGGCACATTAACCACCGCGATTTCAGCGTTGGGTGCCTTAGCGGTTGAATCGCTCGAACGTCGGTGCTATCAACCATTTGGCGAGTAACCCAAAGGCTCCTTTAGTCCGCTTAACTCCGTATGACGCCCCTTTGCATCCTGAATTCATTTATAACTTTTCCATTATTTTTTTCATAAACAGATTTTCGCCAGAAAATTACTTTCCTGAAATATTTGTGTTTATTTTTAAGATGGCACCTATGTGCCAACAGGAACAAGTCATCAACATTGTCGCCATGAAGTTACATTACTGAACATAACATATTTGAAGCATTTTTGTCATTGCCGCCCAAAAAGAACATTTTGAATGTGGTTTAGATTGGATTTTTTTGAATAGAACACATTTCACATCTTCCTTTTTCTGCCAGTGATCGCCAAGTTTCGTGTCCTGCTGTCTTTAGGCTTAGAATACTTTTTTGCATCGTAGCTAGTGCGTTTGATGACATCGTATTAAATAAAGGACTAGCTCTTGTTTCATTGGTCTGCTGACCATAGCAACAAGCCCATGTTTTTTCGAAAATCCAGCAGGGAAATGCCTTGATGCATATCCTTACACATCCCATATGGCTTGACATATGCCATTTCCAGTACTGCAAAAGACAGTCTGCGCCACCATTAATTTTCTTTCCTATCATACTCATACATTGAGAGCAGCATATCTGCTTTGTCCACTCTGCCTATGGCTGACTTGTAATCTTATACTATGTTAGGTGCTACTACTTCGATCATTGTTCCACACTGCTCTTCACGCTTCACAGTAGGTGATTTACTTCCATAGTAATTGGACAACAGATGAACACACTTATTGTCCTTCCAGTTGAAGAACACAATTCCTTGATCGGTAGAACGATAATCAACGTCAACTCTCTTCATCTCCTTGTCCTCTTGAAGCTAATGAAGATGTTTCCTGTTGGGACGGACAGTCCCACAGGCACAAATGTTGTTTGCCTGCAGATTCTCAGATAGTTCAACAGATGTGAAATAATTATCAATTGCCACAACATAACCACCATTCAGAGTTTGGGTGAGACTGCCCACAACACTTCTCCCAGTCCAAATCTGTCTATAAAATTTGTAGTATCCTGTGCGTTGCCTTGAAACACTTCAAGCTCATAAATATAAACATTCATATCAGCCCAACCACATTTTTATAACCACCTTTTACTAGCCTCATTGGGTTATAATGTTTTAGTGTTGAGCGACCTTTAAAGAGAACCGTGCGCTCATCTATACCACACAGTATGAAGTAATCGAATCATTTAATACTTGTGATCGAGATCCGAACTGACAGGTTTAATCGTGTTAGGTTTACATTCTGGGACGGCATTACTGTTATTCAGGTGCAGATTTGCAAGAATTTCAAAGCACTTGTCCTTGTAGGGTTCTTTTAACTGCCGGTACTGCAATGTTCACATCATTAGACAGTATTGTGTTATATGTGGTAAACGACGGTAACGAAACAAAAATAAAGCCCAAAGAATGTATACATTTTTTTGATATACACAGGCTTCATTCTGCTGTGCTTCTGTTGGATGTACAAGTTTGTTAAACAAACTCAAATTTCCATTTGCAAACAGAGGTAGTATTGGGAGAAAAAGATCAGCAGCTGCGTTCTGTCCCACAGAATGTTGTAGAACTGGGCCCACCTCTCGTGTAAAATCTCGCAGAGTGATATTACTGTATTCGTTCACTTCCTTTCATATTGAGTAAGTGACACACCACTGTAACTGGTATCACTGTCTGGAAGGTGCACATTATTTTAAATTCCGAACAACCATCAGCATAAACTTCCTCCAATTCATTATCGGAACTGCTCTCACATGGTGTGTGTACATCAGAAGGTAGACCCTCCAGAGCAGCCTGTACTTCTTGCTCTGTCAACTATTTATTATGTCAGTACTACTTACGAAATAAAGATTTCAATAAACACGCATATCGAAACATTTGTAGATGCAATACTAAACATGTAGGTATGAATAACTTACTTTCTGTAACAAAATAAACTGTTAAAATCTCGAAATGTTGGGCCCTAGCCCTATTGTTATTCCCGGTAAAGGATCCAGTTGTTAATCTTATGCTTGAAGCCTGGCGGTATTTATAGTGACTATATATATATATATATATATATATATATATATATATATCTTGCGAGAGCCAGCTTGCACTTACAAGCCGAGCATGAATTTAAACGTTCTGGAGATGCAAAAAATCGTTCTCTTTTCGACGAACTCAAATGGCGCTGCTTTACGATACTAGTTAAATTGGTTGCGATTGGGGCATATTCGCAGTAGATACGTGCTGTGTTCTTCAGCGAGCAACATTTGCTTAGGATAAAAGTGAAATTCGGGGATATTTTGAAGATTATTAGAAGTTAGGTATACTCGGAAGATACCGTTTTTTTCCATTCCAACCATGTGCGTGGCCAAATAGCCAATAGGGTTCTGCACTGTCCACTACCCTAACAATTTTGTGAGTTTCTTTAAGGCAGAAGCTTTCGTACTCATTACTAGTGAATTTATGCATAACCAACTTATGACTAGATTATTATACACAATTGTAAGTTGGATTACGAATTAGTTTGAGGTAAATCGCAGCTGCTTCGATAAACAGAAGTCTACCACCGTAGAGAAATTGCGCTGTTGTGCACCAGCGACGTCTTTGACAGGGCTATTTGAAGTTAATCATTGTTTTATTTGGGACGGACGGGATTGTCAGAAATACAATCAGTCAACTGGACATAAATATATCGGAAGACCAGAAAAACAATAGTTGAGTATTAAAAAATTTATACAGTCAGATTGATGAGTCTCGGAAAGTAGCTAACTAGATCTCACTATATAGGTGCTGTGTCAACGTACGGATTTCGTATATTGCGGTCCAAAATTCTAGGGTCTTCTGTTTAGGTCAAGAAATTCTCTGAAGTAAAATACCACCGAGATTATTGGAGCAGTGGCTAAGAATATTCATTCATGGAATACACCGACAACAAAATGCTTATATCGACAGTTTAAAATGCGAAGGAAAAACTTGAATACTATTATAATCTGAATCCATCCTGCACCCTGTTGGGTCTGACTCACCCAAATCAAGTGGTTATAGACTTTCTTCTTCAGTGTAGGAGATCCCTCGTAACTTATCGCGCTACATACAGTACTGGTTGCTACGGAAATGGCTGTCTCAACTATTTGCATTAAGTTTGCTTTGATGTAACCATGAGGGGAGAAATATTGCCCACTTGGAGGCACATGATTCATGGGCAAATCTTATGTGGGTTCAAGAAAAGCAGGCACTGGCAGGGGAACAATAGGCTGCGGGCAGCGCCATTGGGCTAACCAACTCAACTGCCAACCAAGTCCGGGAACCGAGTTATAAATTGGAGGGCTTTTGAAAATATGCGTAACATGGAAGAGATCAGTACTGAGCCGTCTTAACGAACTGCACATTTCTTGCAGTATTTTTATTCCTGGATCTTTTATATGATCAAAGATATCGAAACAACCATCTGCTGTGACAGACAGCCGGCATTACGATTCGCTTTGATCAGTGCTTAGGGATCAAACCTGTGTGTCCGCGGGATTGAAATGATGGTTAGTAAAGCGAACAATAAACCCTGAGGGAACACAAAGTCAGGTGCGTCGATGCTTGTTATGCAATTCGTGTGTATGTGTCGAGACGCTCGCGCCAATGTTCAGCGGGAACAGTAGACATATGGAAACAGTCAACTGGATCCAAGCAGCATGGCGCTGTAGACGTTGGAACCTAAGTTATATACCAGTAGTAAACGATTGTTTAACTGGCTATTCTACGCGAACGGAGTATAATAATATGGAAGCGAACGTAATATGAAGCGATTTCTCCTTGGCACTGCGGCGAAGCGTTTTTCTGCTCCTAGCTTAGACTTGACGGAACTGTTTCGTGTCACTTGTGGAACCTATACTCAGTAGAGTTTGGTAGCCAGAGTGGACGACCTATTCACTCATTGAACATGTGGACAAAAACGAACCCATTAGTAGGTAGCATGGGGCTTTGGTGCGCTTGTCGAGAAGTTTCGTGGTTCGTATGGCCGAGGTCATAGGTTCCGATCCGGCAGGATTCGCCTGGTGCGCGCTACTGACGAGTCCTGATAGGAAGAAACGGCCGTATGGCTCCTTTACGGAGGTGTGGTGGCTGACTTGCTCAATCTAGCTACGACAATCTTCTCAAAGCGACGTCTTTTATTCAAACTAGGCTACAAAACGAAAACTTGTTTGAATATCAGGAAATCCCCACCGAAAACTTAGAATCGTACATATTGGTCATTCATTTTTTCTTTCTTGCTCCGGTTGTCCGAATCGTGAAATGGTGGAAACATCATAGCGCACTGCAGCTGATTGACCGTCCCCTCGTGGACGCTGGCATGGCATAAATGATCCTTCAATCTTTTCACATACACATGTCTGTGTGCTGAACAACGCGTGTTTCCATCTGTTGTTCGTGCACGGATGCTAGTTTGAGCCGCTCTGATGTATGAGGCAAGCATTTGGAATTACGGCCAGTGTGATCTCAGGGCCACGCATGAAAGGTACAAACAAGCAAACCTCATACACGCGGTCCTCCCGTAGTGGCTGCACAGCTGTGAGACACGCGTCACTCGACGTTGGTGTCTCCGGGCTCCGGTGCAGTGTAGTACATGCCGAAGCGTTTTCCGTTGAACAGCTCCATCGGCAAAGTCAAGCGGGTTTCATCCCTGAATGTTCATCTGATAAGCCGCAGACCACGTCGAAAGATACTCGGTGTGATGCAGGCGCCTTGAGAAATCAATGCTCG